GGTTTGGTTAACTTCATGCACCTGATCCAGGCTAGATGAGAGGGGAAATGAAAGTATTAGCMGAGTACTATGTGTCTCCTTGCAGCGCAGCCTCTTCTTTTTCTACTCCTTCCTGTTGCTGTTGAGCAACCACCCTTCAGAAAAGTTGTTTTATTCCCTTAAGATGACATGTGGATGTGTTGCTTGGGAGCAGTCATCTTGCTCCAGAGCAAGCAGTCTACTTTCTATCTTGATTCTACTTTCAGGCTCTGAGTCACACTGCATCCAGCCACTGTGAACATAAAGCATTGCTACAAGAGAACGAAATAAAACTGATACTGCTTTTATGGTTCACGATTTTATATTAYTTTTATTTGTGATTAAGGAAGCATGGTGTTAGCAAGAAAAACAAATATATATTAAAAGGGCAAACACTCATTAAATGTGAGATTCAGTTTAAGACATCTAAATATAAATGCATGTGATTTTTAAGCTTTAGTCAATATAGATAATAAGGCTTACAGAGAAATCCAGTTTGCTCCACACAACTCAATAGTTGGCCAGCTGAACTGTTCTCTAGCCTCCTTTGACATTAATGGCAACCAGACACGCAGCAAACATGTAGGTGTCTAAATAAAAGTATCTCAATTCAGTAACTTCAAAAATCAAGATTCAAATACTTGCTGTTAACTCCTTATGCCTATTAGTTGATCGTAATTCTCTCATTTTTATTCAACTTCAACTTGATGCAGCCTTATGGAAAATTATAAAACTGTTTGAAAGGAAAGGTCAGCACAGGAATTCAAGGAGCAATATGCACTATTTGTGTGAAATTGTCATTCTGAGTTTTGCTGCTGAATTTGCATGTGCAAACTTATTCCTTGTGTTTTAGGTGCAGTACCTGTTGAAAAATTTGCCCATTTGGCACTGAAAATGCTTTAAAGCATTCAGGCAAAAGATTCCTTAGCATTGGAAGTTGAACCTAAAACTGCAAGAATGGCATCAAGGAACATTACATTTTCTTTTTATTGAAGACTGAATTTTCCTAACAGATGGAGAACTTGGGGTTAGATCTGAGTTCAAGCAGCCTCTAAACTTGGCCCAGACTTCTAAAATGATTTTAAACGAATCATTTAACATACTGGCACCTCATTTCTGCTGCTCCAAAATGGAAATAATTCTTCCATTGATATTCTGAACTCTTTCCTTTACCCTATAAGTATCTGAGATGAAAATTAATCTCTGTGCACACAGCATGTAGTAAACCAAGCATTAATGTCAATTAGAATTCAAAATGCTACTTGGTAATAGTTAAAATACACTTATTAAGAGAAAAATGCTACAGGGAAGGATGTATTCTAGTACAGCAATGAATTTACACTGGTGAAGTATGTGTTATTTAATTTTAAAGACATTCAGAAATGAGAAAGAAAATGTTTCGTTTGGTGACGATTCAAAAGAATATAATGAATTCTAGCCAGAAGAAACCAGCATTTTAAGAAAATACTTTCGGGGGGGAACCCCGATCTCMTCATGGATGTAACACAAAAGGTCGTTTTTTGGCTATTTGAAATGTTTTACTATCTGACRCAGAAGATTTTCCAGGACTCTTCAGTTGACTGTCAAGGTTCAGGTAGGATTAATTTGTTCTCTCTGCACAGAAGCATTGSGAACACCAGCCTGCTTTCTGAGATAATTGTTAAACATTTCCAATTAAATTAAAATGATAAAAACCCTCAGTTATCCCTGCTCTTTTTAAGGTTTCAGCCAGTTCCCAAAGGCAGACCGCCGACATTCCTGATCCTGGGACGCCACCTCGTGGCATCTGGGAAAAATAAATCCAAATGTCACTCGTCCATGGGGCCAAGGGTGCGGCATCTTTCCAGTGCTCCCGGAGGGCTGCGGGGCTGGAACCCTCCCTCTCACATCCCGACGGTCAGAGGGAGGGGCAGAGATTATGGGATTTGGCAAAGCCTTGTGGGCTGGCTTTAGGACTAAGTACACACCCCGGAGAGTGCCTGTGATCCTCATTGTCCACCTGGGAGACTGAGGCTCAGGAAAATGAAGAACCTTGCCTACGGTCACACAGAATGACACCACCTGAATTGATTAAATTGATTGAACAGAATCATAGAACCATTTGGGTTGGAAAGGACCTTTAAAGGCCATCTAGTCCAACTGCTTTGCAGTGGGCAGGGACAACAAAAACAATAAAAGAAGTAGCATGCTGGAAGATATATATTTGGGGGATTGGCCAGAAAGCAGGTCACAGCAAGTTTTATAAACTTGCAAAATATCATAATACAACAATTCTTCACTGTAATTCTGCAATGCCACTATTATAAGAAATTAAACCCACATCTCTGAAGTTTAAATCACTTACTATGATTCTTGTCTGTAAGAAACTTAACCAAGCTTCAGCTAACTAGAAATAGAAGCTTTGAGGGTACTATTTGTTCTTGTAAATCAGATTTGTCATGTTTTGAGAAACAAATGGAAAAGTATTTCTGTAGGGAAATAAGTGTTTCTGGGGGATAACACAAGAAGGAACAAACAGAAACAGACTTCTTTTTTTCAGTCCTTATGAAATTAAGGTGTCTGGGACCCTTCAGTAGACAATGGTACAAAATTAATGAGATCTGTGCATGAAAATKGTTTTGTTTGAATATGGAAAAATGGATCCATAACAGCTATTTGTGACTAAATAAGTAACAAGGGCCTGACTGGGTGATTGCCTGGGGATAGTGTGCAGTCTAATTTAGTAATAATTTCCATCCCTCTCTGCTCAATGAACAAATAAACAACTCTTGACAAGTAAATGCTGATGCAACACTGGTAACATTAATTAGAACTTATGGGAAACATCGCTACAAAACAGACAATTATTATCTTTAAAAATAACAGAAAACTTTTAAATTTGTATTTAAACTTTTGGGTTTTTGAATATAATGTACTGTGAAAGGCTTTGATCTCGTTGGTCTCTGTTAGTCAGCCTTATTYTGATGCATCTCACCAAAGAAAAAGAAGTTGCGTAATTGTCCTGAAGAAATTTCCATTTCTAYTCTTTGTGTTTCTTGTCTGTGCTCTTCTTGGCACAGGCCTTTGACTTCCTTATCKCTTCATCAGGATAACTTTATAAGATTTTCTTGCAGTTCCCTATAAACTTTTCACTTGTAAAGCTCTTTAAGGCACTGTTGGAAGGAAAGGGTTAAAAGCAGAAGGGTGAAGGGAAGGATGGTAGATTCCAAAGACCTTGCAGGTGGGAATGCCGAGGCCTGGAGAATATCACTGTGAGAAATCCCATAAATTATGCCCTCTGCTGTCTATCCTCAGTCTGCTTTCAGAAGTAGAATTTCTGTGTAGAGATAACGCAGGTTTTTTGAGAGACTTGAAGGCACTCTCATGGATGTGCTTGAGCTCCCCTTTTTGGGACAGAGAAGATCAGGGCTCAGAGATCATAAAAAGCACAGAGATCCCAGCATGGTGGGGAACTCCACACTGTGGGCYCTTGACAAATGGGTGCAAACAGCAGCCCCACTGTCCCTCAGGATGGACTGAGCCTGACGGGTCCTGTGTCCCCGATTCTGTGTCCCTGCCTGGCTGTTGCTCTGGGATCCTCTGGTTAGGGAGGCARTGGAATAAATTTACTCTTTGCATTTCAGATGTAGTCTTGTGGCTGCTCTGCCTGCCTGCCTGTGTGGACTCCCACAGCACCTAAACAMCCTTCACTGGCTCTTTCTCATTTTTTTACAGTGCTTTTAAGGAACAGGTCTAGATAAAACACATTGTTKTGACCCTCACAATGCCATGTTACTGCCTCCCTTTGGTGATAACTTAGCAAATTTTCTATATATTGCAAAATGGCTCCAGCCACCTCTTTACAACTTYTTACAAAACTTTGGCAGATGGGAATAGGCCAAGACAATCCTTAGCAATGTAGGAAGACCATATCCAGCTTTCTTATGGATTTAAACACTGATCAGAAAGTGCTGCTTAACCACATCACAAACCATCCAGGCTGAATCCATTTTCCACCCTTAAACCAAAACTGCAGCCAAAGATGCCAATTTACAGGGACAGAAAGCACGACAGTGGGAGGCAGTRTGATACTGCAGCCTAATGGGTCCGTCATTTATCTGGGATAAATAATTGCCATGTTTCAGCCCTTTGCCTTAAGGCTACTGATGTGCTTTACATGAAACAGTCACAGCTGTATCAGTTTGGGATCGTTTGTTCTTTTTTTTCTGTAAGAAATGTGAATAATGTCAATGGGTATTTAACTAAATTTTCAAAGCTTTCATTATCATTCAAAATCCTTTATATTCAGATTGTTTCAGTCAGATGTTCGATTGCTTGGCAGAGCCTAAAACATAAATGTTCTGGTTTTTAAATGTGTGGTATCAAWATATATGTGAAAGAAAAATTAAAAAGATGTTTTTGAGTCTAAGTATGCAAAATATAACCTCAGGCCACAAAGCATTTTACCCACTAAAGTTTGAAAAGAATTTCAAAGGGATCATCAAATTCATTAGAGTCAGAGAGATMATTAACATAACCTAATTAATCTCCTTGTTGTATTGTGCCATTTGCTAAGCAGTTGAGTGCACACTAGATGGCAGCCTCAGTGCAGATTATTTCATCCTATTGCTTGTTCTCCAGGAAAAGCTGAAACTGAGAAATATCCTTGGACTCAGTACAGTGTTTTGGGGAAAATGAAACTGGATGACTGGCTAAACTGTGGGATGCTTAGGTCTGCACTGTGCTTAGGTCCCTCTGCTGTGTCAAACTAGTGTAGGTAGCATTAAGCAGCAAAAAGTCTCATTCCCAGCTAAATGAAAGTAACACCAGTAACAAATGCTCTAAAACCCAAGGGCAAAACGACCAAAATATTCAGGAATAAACTGTTTGTAGCTCAGATTTCACAACATGGAAACGAGGAAGACTTCTCTGAGTGTCCCTTGCAGTACAGACAAAGAACAAGATGAAGTAGTTGATCAGGAAAGCCTGACAGAAACACTTACAGATAARATTTGATCTCCTCGCTGCAGTTCTCCACTGAGATCAGCTGGCCCACCTGCGAGGATGAAGGACACGAAAATGCCTTCRCCGTCTTCACCTCCCACAATGTTGAAACCAAGTCCTGTGGAGCCCTTGTGCAGGATGATTTTTCGAGGCTCTCTGTATAGAAACAAAACGATAATGTTCATCCACACATCCTCTCTTACTGTGCATGTATCTCKCACAGCATCTTAAGCATGCTCTATTTTGCTTAAGATACAGGGGCCTGTTACTGTCTAAAGGAATCATTTAACAAAGATACAAATCTTAACTGGTTAATGGATGAGGTAGGAATCAACCAGCATTATTTTTTTTCCTCATAGTTGAATCCAAACATCTCTATTAATTTCATCCCATTGSAGTCATCTCCACTATGTTAAGTGACAAAGCTATTAAAAAGAAAAAACACTGAATATATTTAACGATCTAATTTATAGCAATACTATATAAACAGCAATACTATATATATATACACTATATACACTATATGTATACACTACATATATATATATACACACTATATCCAGCAATAAATATATATATATATATATATCAATATTATATATACAGATAGAATCAATCTTTATGTGGTGCCTTTTTATTTTAAGTTCTAGTCTTGCTTTTGCAACAAATGAGCAAAGAAAAAACTTAGAAGTCCAGGCAAAGCAATGGCAGTTGTGTTTGATCCTGACAGATTTGGAGAAAATAACATTTATGTGATCAAGCTAATACAACAAAATMTCATAAAAAAACTTTGGTTTGACATTTTCAGGATCTTGCATTTGTTAAGTCACACAGCAGCTTTATCACTGAACCGGCCCAAGGGGTACCTGCTTTTGCCACACTCATTAAAAAAATGATTAATTATTCTAGAAATCAATAAATAATAACAGGTATATCTCACACAGCTCTTTTCATCCATAAATTGAAAATATGCCTCAGAGGATGTAAACATAACATGCGTTTTACTGATGGGAAAACTTATTTCGAGCAATAGATAACTTTCCTAAGCAATCAAGGTAGCATCCTTGAGGAAGAATCCCAAATATTCCTGTTCTCAGCCCTACATACAAGGCTTCAGACCTGGCTCTCCCTTGCACACACAACCACAAATATACACACCCACATTCCATGTTTATTTTTACCCATTTGAAATCTCTCTAACAATTTAATTTTTAGAAAAAKTGTAAATGCTGTTATTTTAGTATGCATACATTTTAAGCCCAGCCCCAGTACTCCCACGTCTGTGACTCCTCCCAGAGAAATAGGATGCTCTGCTCTTTAATTTACAAGTAAAAGTTGCCAGCAACACAAAAACACACCGCATGCAGCAACATTCTGAAGAATGCTTCCTGTATAAAAGATTAAATTTTATCCCYATACTATACAGCAGTTCTGCATCACACAAACGGCTTTTTCATCTCAATTTTATTTTTAAAGAAGAACRGAAGAGAAGTGATTAAATGAGGGATGCCTTATTTGATGCGAGTTTAATCTTATAACTACATGGAGACATCATCTTGAMATGATATTTCTGAAATCACAGGCATTTGTTCATTTTTGTTCAGTGCCAATATCCAGCTTGATCATGATGTTAAAGTAATATCTCAACTTTCTGAAACTGGATTTAGTATTTTTGAAAGGGAGGACTAAAGCAAAGTGTTAGTCCTACTCCATATCATTCTTCATCTCTTCACTTTTTCAACATTGTAAAGCGAAATACAGCYATGAGCAAAATATACTGAGTTTGTATATTTTTAAGAATCAGAAAATAAAGGTGGACATTCTCTTCTTTYGTATTGTTGCTGTTGATTTGCCTTGTAGCAACTCCTTTAACACCTTGTTAAATATGTGCAGAATGGACAYACTGTGATCCAGATCTAGGAAGTGTAAACAGGTTTTTAATTAGAAGTTAATGGCCTGGGGGTTGGAGCAGAACTAGGACAGTAAGCTGAAAGCRTAGCTTCTTTTCACTACTTAGCCCATGCACTACTGAGTGCTCTTGGCAACCCATTCATTCTTCCAGCTTCAGTTTCCTCATCCACAAAATGACACGGTGACACCGGTCATCTTTGCGTCCTACACATCAGAAATACTTTGCAAGAGTTGAGCAACTGCCATTTATTATTCACCAGAATATTGAGGAAAAAGAGGCAGCAAAGTCGAAGCAATATATCTTCATGATCTGCTGGTGAGAAATCAGAAGAGATCTTGTTCAAAATGAAAATGAGTATTTTCACATATGACAGCCAGCTTGGATCAAGTAGTTGAACGCCAGTGCCATGGGCTAAACTAGGTCAATACAACTGGGGATCTACTGAATAGTAAACTGTGCAGCTTCACAAAATATTGGCCCAGTTATTAATCCCTGTCTCTGATCAAGTCAGCAGATTTATGCCTAAAATGCTGCCAGTGCTGTTTTATAATTTTGGCCTTTTGACAGCAACATTTGCATTCTGCACTTGGATGATTATGTTCAGAGGAAGTTCAGACAATAMCAGGGAAATGTCAGAAGTTGTGATTAGAATGCAATGGGTTTCTGCCCCTGCCCTTTTGCCTAATCAGGTCATTTCAGTCGTGACTCAAATTTGGCTGTATAGAGGCTGACCATCCATAACATATCTTTGTATTTCTTTCATACCTGACTATCCTGTAGAATCTGAAAGGTGGACTCAAGAGGACATAGGTGCTGTCACCGTTCTAAAAATAACCTTCAGCCATAACTGTACTGCAAAAGATATAGGAAGTAGAATGCATATGCCAATTCACTTTAATATAATAAGTTTTTAAAAATACGTAACAGTTTACACTTGTGTAGTGTACTTAAAATGACAATGAAAAAAAGGATATGATGGTATAAAAGTTGATATAAAATGTATGAAGTGGAAGTAGGAAAAATATTCCTTAAGCAAAAAAACGACAGTACCAGCCACTGCCCTTTAAAGGCAGRTCTTTAAAGAGTGATGCAGAAATTATTTGCCTGCCAATGCTTCATAAACACTCAGTGAAAAGGATAGTTTTGATAAGATTGAAGATGAGAATATTTATCACCCGGTATAAAAGTTCCAGTCAACCCTTAATATGATATTTCAGGAGGTCTAGGAACAGGTGCTGCAATTTTTCTTGAATATGTGGGAAGCAACATTAGGAAAAAATTCTTTTGCCTCTGTTAAAGATCCTTATGAATTTAGTTCCAGTACACATGASAGAACTCAAGACAAAATGCAGGTAAATGGTGTAAAGGGGATAACGGAATCAATCATTTAAAGATGGCATGAGGATGGGAGAGTTAAGAAGTGGAAGAAAAGCAACTCAAATGTGAATAATGCTTTCTTGMAGCCGATGTACTCAATTTGAACGTGTACGTGGCTGCAGGAAACAGCACTAAGGCAGCAGTAATTCCAGGGCAACTTGTTTTAAAATGGGGGTGGTTTGGCACTGGAACAGGCTCCCCAGGGAAGCTGTCACAGAATCAGCCTGATAGAGTTCAAGAAGCATTTGGACAATGCTCTCAGGCACAKGGTGTGACTTTTGGGGTGTCCTGTGCCGGGCCAGGAGTTGGACTCAGTGATCCTTGAGTCCCTTCCAACCCMGGATATTCTATGAGTCTACAAAAATGTTTTATTTGGAGACAATAGATGGCACTCTGTAGCTACCCTGGAAAAAGGAACAGTCTGCCATGCAGTGTTTCTGAAATGCTTGTTTCTGCCTCCAGCTTTAACTACTTATCCCATTTACAATTTCTTCAGTGATAAATATGGTTGAAGGTAAGTTTGTAGGTGCTAACAAAGCGTACTAGCACTTTAATTCRGTGTGTGCATGTTTCATACCCTCCTGCAGCTCTGTACCAAATACAAACAGAGAAGAGCAGCAGGGGAAATCAAGCAGAAATTAGAAATGGAGTGTGAGATGAAAACATTCCTGGACTGACAGAAGGCAGCAGAAGGGAGGGGGGAAAAAAAGAGAAGGGAAAAAAAAAAGAAAGAAAAGAGAACAGAAAAAAGAGATAAAGGATAAAGGGAGGCAGCACATCTACAAAGGAGAACAGGGAAGGAAATAAAAAGGTAGGCAAAGAAGAAAGGAAGATTTATATTAATAAAGCCAGGAGTAAAGGAGCAAATAAAGTGCTGCAATCCACACAAATTTAAAGGCTGAGAAATCAATGGCAGAATCAATTTGGATGGACTTGGTTACTTGCTTTAGGGAATGCATCAGATCAGATTCGGAAAATCACATTATAAATTGCAGGCCTGATGTAAGAGAAAAGGATTACTAAATTAATATTTGAATACAATAAGCAGTAATAAACCAGACCAGGTAAAATGTCAACACTTAAGAAAATGTCTTCTGTCATAAAAATGCAATTACCAAAAATAAATCCAAGTGTAGTATCACTCTCCTTAACAGGGTTTTTTGGTTGATGAATGTTTAATTTGTTYGTTATCTTGCAAACAGCAAGTACTTTTTATTTACTACATTTGTACTGAATATTTGGTTTGAYCAGTTTACTTTTAACAAACAGAAAATGACAAGACAAAAAAAAGTGACTGTTCCTATCATTCTTCTATAGATTGGAATCCATAGTAATTATAGATCTAATTTAAGATATTAAAACTGGACTGATAAATGAAGAGGAAGCGCTTTCTAAAACCAAGTAATTCTTACAATAATTAACTGAAAGAAAATCCATGATTAAATTGATTATTTTGTGCTGCTGGCAACATTAAAGAATAGAGTCAGTTTTAGTATTCATCTCACATTGACACAGCTCTGTCTTTCCGTTTCTTTTGTACCATCTATAAAATTAGAATGCTGACACAATTTTGCGCTTTTTGAAACACCCACAGAAATATTAAGCAACACTAGGTGCTTTCAAATATCAGACCTTAGAGAYTTCTTCAGTTTTATACAATCAATGAGGTATCCCAAATCTGCAGAGGCTTAGAAATATGCTTTTGATCTTGCTTTGGCTGCAGGTTTTTTGTTGTTTTGGCTCTTTAAATTTTTTCTTTGTTGTTGGTTTTTTGCCTTTTTTCCTGCTCTTCCACCAAAAAAAAAAAAAAAAAAAATTGCCATTCGCTTCACAAAGGATGTTGAAAGCACACATAAACTGATGCTTT